CCAAGCCTGGACAGTCCTGGGTTGCCCAGAGGATAAGACTCCCTCTTGGTCCTGCTGATGTGGTTGAAAGGAACCCAGAGCTATACATTTGGCAACAGCTTGGCTGCAAAAGTTTCCCAAAGGAGGCATGCAAAGTGCCATCCAACCACCTTAAGGACTCTGCTCCAGACTTGTGTAGGGTTTACTCCTTGGCCTTTTATTCTCCTTAAGATAACCCACAAGACATAGGGCATGGGCAGAGCCAAGTTGGTGTGGGGGGCTGGAGGGCAGCTGCTCCCCCCAGAATCAAGACTAATTTACCAATCACATCCCAGAAAGCTTGGTTTTGTCCCCCTAACATCAATCCTGCCCCCGCATATGAATCCTGCCCGTGCCCATGGCAGTGCGTAGGGGTTGTGGTGTCTTCACAGCCCCTGTCTACATAAGTAACAGTTGTTGGTTAAAGTGAGACTAGGAAATGGCTCTCTTGAGGTTACAAAAAAAAGCCCTTAAAAACGCACAGCAAGGGCAACTACATTTCTCATAAACCATGATTAGAAGAACCCTATTCAGCGCAGAGGTTCAACCGTATTTTTGTACAAACAATTCTCTATGCAATTCTCTGGTTCCACCACTAGAGGCAAATTCAGGATTTTTTTAGGTCTGAAAAAGCATAGCACTATGTAAAAATGAAAATAACAGGAAAGGACTGGACAGAATGTTAAGTACCCCAGGAATAATATACCCTATAAGAAAAGTAGGTCCTACAAGCAATGTATTATTTCATATATGAGGTTCTGCTTCTTGAAAAGGCATGGAGATTGACCAGCTGAAATGAGCACCCTACATAAACATAGCTCAGAAATGAAAAGGCTGCAACTAGGCATGGGCTATGTCTGCTTTTCAGCATCATTATGTCAGCAGCTAAACATTGTGTTATACCAAGACAACACAATGTCTTAAATAAGAATGGAAGTAAGTAGCGGCAAATAAAGTAATATCCTGCCTACTACTACTTCTTGGGCATCTGAAATAGATTCTTTTTGACATACCTTTAACATTTTGTTACAACTCTGTATTGTAGAGATGATTTTATATTAGCACATTTTCTCTAAGATTAAAGTTGTGGAAGTGATTGATAGAATGGTAGCATAGATATCAAAGGTAAGGTGAGAGATTGTTGCCTAAAATTTTAATTTTGTTATTAAAGATGAAAAAATAAATTTATGTGACATGAGGGAGACAGAGAAACACACACACAAATACACAGACACACACATACATACAAAGAAGGGGAGAAGGGAGGAATGATATTCAAACTGCAGGGCAAGGTTTCTTTCTTTCTTTTCAACTCTGAAGTAATGACCTCCACTTATTTTACCAAGGGACTAGGAGAGGCTTCCAAGCCAAAGAGCTGTGCTTGCATAAGGTTTATTTTTGGAAGGCGGTGTCAGGGCTTTGGCAGCCCCTCCCTCCTTCCAAAAGCTGAGCAAGCACTTACTAAGCTTCCAGCTTTCCGGAGTGGGAACAGAGGGGGAACAAGGCTCGGAGGGGGAGCAGGGCTCTAGCACAGAGCCCTGCGCCCCTCTCCAAAAGCGCACACCCTGGGCAGAGGAGCTTCAGGCAGCACTGTCAAGCCATTACCGCCACTGGAGCTGAGCAAAGCCCCTGGCTCTTGGAAGGATGCTCCCAGGCTCTGGCAGGGTCCTAGAGCCCTTATTCCCTTTCCAAATCTGGACAAGATTGAGAAGGCAATGGGAAAGTTCTGGGGTGCTGCCAGAGCCCTCCTACAGCCATCCCAAAGTCAGGTGAGCAGTCCTCCACTTACTGGGACCACTGGTTCTGGAGGTTTCTGGTTTTATTCATTTTTTCCCATATGCAGAATCCTCCATATTCAGGAGAAGGGCCTCCGATTTTGCCCCCCAGTGTCCTGCCCTGATGAAACCAATGATGCACATATCCTTGCAGCAAAATAAAGAATGGAGTGATGGTTCAAAGCTGACACTGCATATCAGCTCCCCCTTAACATTTGCTTCTGTTCTTGTCACACTAGCTAGCAGATTTGTGATAATGCTGAGGCAAAGTGATATGCACAAGACCCACCCTTAATGTTGATTCTGCTGCATTAGCAGCACTGAAGGGACCTCTCTGGGGAACAAGCCTGGACACTGTCTGTGGATTTCCATACAAAAAGACACACATGCCACACTAATGGGATCCAAAGGAAAGGAGATGTTCAGTTCACATCAATTTGGCTGCAGGAGTTGCCCAAAGGAGACTTTTAAGGTGCCGTCCAACTGATTTAGGGATTCCACTCCAGAATTGTGCAGGGCTTATTCCTTAGCCTTTTCATCTCCAGAACATATCCCACAAGGAAAATGATACATTTTGTTCCATCTTTCCAAAAAACCCTCTACATGACAGGAGAGACAGTTGTCGGTTCAAGTGAGATAATGAGATGGCTCTCCTCAGGTAACAAAACAAAAGCACTAAAAAACTGGCAGCTGAAGGACAACCTCATTTCTCATAAGCCTTCATCAGAAGAACCACTATTAAGTGCAAAAATTCAAGCACTCCTTTTTGTACAATGAAGTCTCTGCAATTCTGGGGTTCCACCACTAGAGGTGCAGTCTGGAATTTTTAAGGACTCAAATAGCATAGCGCTATGCAAAGATGAGAACAGTAATAGACAAGAAAAAGCACTAGGTACCTCAGAGAGAATATACCCTACAAGAAAAGCAGCTCCTACAGGCAATGTATGAGATCGTATATGAGGTTCTGCTACTTGAAAAGACATGGAGAATGGAAATGAGCATCCTACAAAAACATATGTCAGAAATGAAAAGGACTGAAACTAGGGCTGGGCTCTGTCTGGTGTTCAACATCGTGATATGTCGGCAGCTAAACATCGTGGTGTACCAAGATAAAACGATGTCTGAAATAAGGACGGAACTGTGTAGAGGCGAATGAGGTTATGTCCTGCCAACTGCTACTGCTAAGGGGTCTGAAATGAATACATTTTTATTTTTAACATATTTTTACAACTGTGATTCTATAGTACAGGTAATTTTTAAATTAGCACATTTTCTCTAAATCAAAAGCTGTATTAATTAAAAGCTAATTAGTAATATAGATATCAAATGTAAGGTGAGAGATTGTTCCCTAAAAAATTAATTCTATTACTAAACATGAAAAATGTCAATTCTTTGATATGAAGGAGACACAGAAACACACACATAAAGAAGGGAGAAAGGGAAGAAAGATACTTAAAGAGCAGGACAAGGTTTATTTTTATCAATTCTGAAGTAAATGAGTTGATTTTTCCATGGACTTGGAGCGGCTGAAAGGGTTCCGGCTTTCGGAAGGGGGGACAGGGCTCTGACCATCCCAGAGCCTTCACGCCGTGCTCCAAAAGCCACACAAAATGGATGAAGATTGCAATCTTTCATAAAATGGTGCCCGCAAGAAGCCTGTATTGGCGCCCTCAAGTGGATCTTCTTAATTGTGCACTACGTCAGCTCAGCAGCGCCCTGTGTGGAGAAACTGCTGTCACCACTGTCAATCCGGAACTGCCGCTGCAGCTGAGCTAGGCACCTGGCTCTGGGAAGGATACTCCCAGGTTCTGGTAAAGTCCTAGAGCCCTTCTACCCTTTTCAAAGCTGGGCAAATGCTTACCAGGCTTTAGGAAAGAGATGGGAGGGCTATGGGATGCTGCCAGAACCCTAGTGTTGCCTTCCCAAAGCCAGGTAAGCAGTCCTCCACCTTACCAGGGTGCAGGTTTTGGAGGTTTCTGATTTTATTCCTTCCCCCAAAACCTCCTCCACATTCAGCTGAGAGGGGCCTCCGATTTTGCCCCCCTGCATCCTGCCCTGACATAACCAATGATGTACATTTCTTTGTTTATGAGTGAAACTGTATATATCTCCCCCCATTGCCACCTGCTTCTGTTCTTATCACACTAGCTAGCAGATGCATAATAAAGCTGAGACAAAGGGATATATACAAGAAAGACCCACCCTTAATGTTGGTTCTGCTGCATTAGCAGCAGCAAAGTGGCCTCTCTGGGGCACAAGCAAGGGCAATGTGTATGGCAGACCAAAGCTCCCCAGACAACAAGATTCTCCCACTAGGCAGCACTGATTTGGTCAAAAGTAAAGCAGAGGTGCATGGTTGACATCAGCTTGGCTGCAGGAGATGCCCCAAGGAGGCATTCAAGGTGCCATCCAACTGCCTAAGTGGCTCCACTCTGGACGTCTGTAGGGTTTGCTCCTTAGCCCTTTCTCCTGAAGATATCCCATAAGTCTTCGTAAACTTATTTACTATATAAGCGACAGTTTTCAATTAAAGTGAGATAAGGGGATGGATATTTTTGCGGTAATGAAACAGATGCCTTTAAAAACCCGCAGCAGAAGGACAATTTAATTTCTCATAAACCATCATTAGAAGAACCAGAATTAAGCGCAGAGGTTCAATCATATCTTTTTGTACAAGGAAGTATCTATGCAATTCTGGGGACCCACCACTAGAGGTCATTCGGATTTTTATAGGACTGAAGTTGCTTAGCAACATGTAAAAATGTAAACAGGAATAATGTAAACAGGAAACAGAGTTAAGTACCTCAGGATAAATATACCCTATAAGAAAAGCAGGTTAGAAATGAAAAGGGCTTCAAGTAGCCTTTCATTCATTGGTAGAAGTGCAGTATTTAAATGAAGGAATTGATTGATTGATTGATTGATTGATTGATGATTGATTGATTGATTGATTGATTGATTGATAAATGAGTGAACACTTCCAATGTTTGACAATGAACTGTCACCTACTTTTAATAATGCAGAAGCATAATGCTGATATGTGCCACCTGGTGACTCTTCCTCCTCCCTCCCCACCTCTGCCATCAGCTATGGAAGATACCCCCAAAATATCTGTATCTCTGCCTTCTGAGAACTGTAACCTCAAGAAATGGTGCCTATACTTTCTTTTTCTTTCCTCTCCATCCCTTTGTCCCCATCCTTCTGCAGGGCCTGCAAGATGGAGCTGTTCCGCCTGGCCTTCGGTCCTGGCCCAGTTTGACCCCCCTCTATGGGACCCTTTTATTGGCTCATGTGGGACCAACATGGATAGCTGGCCCTGATGAATACTTGAGATTCCCAATCTGTATGGTTGTAATTCGTGGGCAGTCATTAATTTTACCCTGATTCTAATTTTTAAGCTGTATTTTAATCAATTGTTCGATTGTGTTTTAATGTATTTGATATTTGATGTTAGCTGCCCTGAGCCTGGTCTTGGCTGGGGAGGGCGGGGTATAAATAAAAATTTCCTTCCTTCCTTCCTTCCTTCCTTATATGTACTGTATCCTTTAAGAGTGCAAGTACCAAATGCAGGCAAGGGATGTGTTACTACTGAATCTTTGTATGGTGCTCTGAGACCCATTTTGGCTGAGGGGTTAAATAAATAAATAAATAAATAAATAAATAAATAAATAAATAAATAAATAAAGTGGGGCTTCTTTCAGAGTGGTCACACATAAGACTGCACATGTTGAATTATATAGAAGCTCAGGAAGTTTTACCCAATGCAACAGAAGACAGAATCAAGGATTTAAGATGACCTTAACAGATTGGAGAACTGGTACCCAAACTAACAACATGAATTTCAATTGCAAAAAAATTAAGGTTCTACATTTAGGCAGGATGAACCAGATGCATAAATATAATCTGAGGGACACCTGGCTTGCCAGTAATACATGCAGAAAGGACCTTGGGGTCTTAGAAGACCACAGCTTCACATGAGTCAACAGTGTGAAGCAGCAGCAAAAAACAAACAAACAAACAAACAAACAACCCTAATGCTATCGTAGGCTGCATCAACACAAGCATAGTGTCCCGTTCAAGAGACGTAATAGCTCCACTTTATTCTGCAATGGTGAAACTCCACCTGGAATACTGTTTCCAGTTCTGGATACCACAATTTAACAAGGATATTGGTAAGCTGGAATGTGTGCTTAGGAGGGTGACCAGGATGATCAAGGGTCTGGAAACCAAGTCTTATGAGAACAGTTGAGGTAGCTGGGTATGTTTAGCCTGGAAAACAGACTGAGAGGAGATATGATAACCATCTTCAAATATTTCAAAGGATGTCCCATGGATTATGGAGCAAACTTCCCCCCGCCCCTGCTCCGGAGGATAGGACCCAGACAAAATAATTCAAGTTACAAGAAAAGATATTCCAACAAAACATCATGAATAACTTTCTGGTTGAAATAACTTGTTTGACAGTAGAATGAACTGCCTTGGGAAATGGTGAACTCTCCTTCCTTGGAGGTTTTTAAGCAGAGGTTGGTTGGCCATTTGTCATGTAGGTTTTAGCTGATATTCCTGAATTGCAGGGGGTTGGACTAGATGATCGTTGAGGTCTCTTCCAACTCCCCAATTCTATCATTCTCTGAAACAGGCTAGTTTAGCATTTGAACAGCTCTTCCTGCACTTGCTAGGCTGGGCTTACTGCCGGAACAGGAAAAAGGAAACCAAGGATGGAAGAGTAGCTTGTGCAAGCCAGCCAGCCGTTTACAAGGATTCCAGAATATCCAAGAGCAAGTGAAGAAGGAGCTCAGCTTCATGGGCAATGGACACCCACAGGAATAAGCTTAAGGAGGGCCCTGATGGTGGCAACAGCAGCTCTGAGACTGCACAAAGCACATAAGCCAAGCAGAGTTAGGTGGTGCAGATGCTCATTTCTTGCCTGTGTCCAGAGCTGGTAGTCAACATATTTGGGTACCTGAACAAGGGCAGGGCGGTGTATCTGTGCCAGGCCTGGTAAGATGCTGCCTATCTCCACATTATGTGGTAGGGTGTGGAGGTCAAGCTGGTCCTGAATCACTCCTTCACTGAGAATTGGTACTGGTCTGTCTGGAAGCACTCAGTGTCTGGCAGTTTGGGGTCATGGAGATCCTCAACGTCAGTGACTCTTTTGCTCTCACTGGATGAGCTGAGATATGTTTTGGGGGCAGACTTGCTCTCCCTGTGGGTGTTGGGCCTTCACTGACAGGAATTTCCTGGGCAGGAATTTCAAATACCTCAAAAGCCTGGAAGTTCTGGAGCAGATATAAAAAGGTCACTGATACCGGCCTCCTGCTCATTGTCAGGGACTTGGGGCATCTCAAGAGACTCATACCAAACTGATGCAGCCTGGTCACTGACCCCAGAGTCCAGTATCTGGCCCAGGAGCTCTCCTGCCTATGCCACCTTGGCCTTTGTTGCTGTCAAATCACAGATGAGGCTGTCTCTGTCATGCCTGAGCAAGCTGAGGCCTCTCAACTTGAAATTATGTGACTTCATCAGTAATGAGAGCATCAGGCACCTGACAATGGCTGCCTGGAGCTGAAACAACTCAGTCTGATGACTTGCCATAGGCTCAGCAATTGTAGTGACCATTATCTGTCCCAGAATCTCCCCTGCCTGCACCCCTTGACCTCAGATAAGAATGTGTCAGATAATAATGATCAAGGCACTGCTTTCTCAGTCACACCTGAGGAGACTGAGGACCCTTGACCTGATCTGCTTCAACATCAGTGACAAGGGCATTGGGGCGGCATCACCTCCAATAGATGGCTGGAGCTGAAGAAACATCAACTGGCTTTAAACAAGATGTCAAAGAAAAAGGTTTATCTGAAAAAGAATCGAAGTTTCAACAAGAAATATTGAATAATGATTTTAAAATTTTGTCTAAAATGTATAAATTACTGCTTGAATGGCGCTTGAAAGATGAGGAGGTAAAATCAGTTATGATTCATTGGGCAAAAGATTTTGGGTATAATATACAGTTAAGTGATTGGATAAAACTGTGGAAAGAAGGTTTGAGATTTACCGCATGTAATGCATTAAAAGAAAATGTGATGAAGATGGTGTATAGATGGTATATCACACCAGTTAAGTTAGCAAAAATGTATAAAGTGAGTAATAAGTGTTGGAAATGTAAAGAAAAAGAAGGATCATTTTATCATATGTGGTGGGAATGTAAAAAAGCTTTTGGGAGATGATATATAACGAATTGAAAAAAAATGATGAAATATACTTTTATAAAGAAGCCAGAAGCATTTCTTTTGGGTATTGTTGGAAATGATATAAATAGAAAAGACTGTAAGCTTTTTTTATATGCGGTAACAGCAGCAAGAATATTACTGGCCCAAAAATGGAAACAAGAAGAGCTACCAACGTTAGAAGAATGGAGGATGAAATTAATGGACTACGCAGAATTAGACAAGTTAAGAGGAAGGATCCGAAACCGGCGAGATCAGAGGTTCACCGAAGACTGGACTAAATTTATGGAGTATTTGAAAAATATTTGTGATGATCAAATTACGTTTGTAGGTTTACAAGAAGTTCTGTGAGGAGTAACTTAAGAAATATTGTAAAAATAGAAAGGGGGAGATGATTTGTTAAGAAATGTAAAGGCAATATTAAGTTAAGAATTGCAGGAGAAGTCATTAGGACGGAAGATTATCAGAGGTGTTGAAGGAAGTCCAAATAAGAATATGTATGTAAGAATTTGTGTGGTATGTCTTTAAAATGTTGCATATTAAAACTAATAAAAATATTAGATAGATATATATAAAAGAAGAAACATCAACTGGCAAGCTTTCAGTGGGTCATTGATTTTGGCATCCACTGCTTGGTCCAGAGGCTCCAGGAGCTGCCAAAAGCTGTCCCTGTCATGCCTGAGGAGGCCGAAGACCCTCCTGGATGAGGGCATAACGTCAATGATTGCATTACAGTACACAACTGCAACTTATGTGCATTTAACTCACACAATTTCAACCATACGTGGTTGAAAGCTGTCTGGGTGAAATTCTGCTAGTTAAATACAAGCGAGGAATAGAGTGTAAAAGCTTTATCTACTGGATTGGGTTGCCAAGTGCAAAAAGAGCTTTTAATCTCTCTATGCTGTTTGGGGGTCAAGTCCCACTCAGAACACTGGTTCCAGAAGGCTAGGAGTGCTTGTGTAGGGATGGTTTGAGTATACACCTTTTTGCATATGTGTCATCCCTGGAATGCAACCCCTGCATAAGATGCAATTGTACTGTATAGTACTTGTTTTTGTTTTCTGTTTTTCCAATAATTTTTTTATTATTTTCCTTACACACTTCTTCAGAGAATACATTGATCAACATATAAACCTTTTTGCTCTGCCGAGCTAACGACTTCCCTCCTTCCCTTCAGCTGGTATCCCTTATCAAATCCAATTCTGCATTCTGACTCTTTACAGCTTATCAACATTGTAGGAGTTACTTCAGTCCTGCTAGTGTTTTTAAATTTTTACAGTTATCATTTAAGTATACAATAAATTTACTCCAGTCTTTCTGGAATTTCTGATCGTCCTGGTCTCGAATCCTGCAAGTCAGTTCGGCCAAGTCAGCAAAATCCACCATCTTCGCCTGCCACTCCGCAATAGTGATTTCCATTTTGGGGCCAACAAAGTCCTAGCTGCCACTGTGGCGTACATGAATAGTCTTTGATCTAACTTCATAATCCTGTTTCCCATCAAGCCAAGCAAAAAAGCTTCCGGCTTTTTGGGGAAGGCATATCTAAAAATTTTCTTCAATTCATTGTAAATCAACTCCCAAAATGTCTTTACTTTATCACAAGCCCACCACATGTGATAGAATTCTCCATCTCCATCTTTACATTTCCAACATTTTTTATCCCTCATCCTGTACATTTTTGCTAGCTTTACCGGTGTCAAATGCCACCTATATATCATTAAATTTTATTTCAGAGCCGTACAAGCTGTAAATTTAATACTTTCATTCCATAATTTTACCCATGCATTCAATTCTATGTTGTACCCAAAATCTAAAGCCCGTTTTATCATAGCTTCTTTCACTTTCTCATCTTTCGTAAACCATTCTAACAACAGATTGTACATTTTGGATTGGGTTTTACCTTTGCCTTCCAACAGTTCTACAGTGGTACATCTGGTTACGTACTTAATTCATTCTGGAGGTCCGTTCTTAACCTGAAACTGTTCTTAACCTGAAGCACCACTTTAGCTAATGGGGGCTCCTGCTGCTGCCGCGCTGCCGTCACACGATTTCTGTTCTCATCCTGAAGCAAAGTTCTTAACCCAAGGTACTATTTCTGGGTTAGCGGAGTCTGTAACCTGAAGTGTATGTAACCTGAAGCATATGTAACCCGAGGTACCACTGTATTTGAAATCTTGATTTTTTTATCTTCAAACCCAGCTTTCCTCTTGTCTTCTTTAAG